TCTTCTTCTTCTTCTTCTTCTTCTTCTTCTTCTTCTTCTTCTTCTAACTTCTTGTTTATCATTTTGCAGATTTGATTTAATTCACGGAAGCTTGCATGGATGGAGTGCTTCTTTTCCATTTGTGTTTTTATTTTGTATCAATGTGAAACTTTTATGAATTGATGGATAACGGTGTTGAATGAACATTGTGAAACTTTTGTAATATGTAACGATGGAACTATGTGTTGGCTATGTATGTATATATGATGAAACTTGTGTGTTGGATATGATCTGGACGCAGGTAACATCGTTACATATGGCCCCCTGTATGTAAGCTAAGCAGATCTGTGTTGTATGTTATCTCTAATATTTTGTAACCTGTGAAAATATCAGAAATGAAAAAAAATTCCTAATATTCATACTAATGGCGCATCACACAAGACACTAATGGCGCACTGTGATAATCACACTAATGGCGCATCACCCACTGGTGCGCCATTAGAATGCCAAAGCACATGGGTACATATGGCCCCCTGGGAGGCATTCTAATGACGCACTGCAGGCTATACTAATGGCGCACTACGTGGTGCGCCATTAGAACACCAAATACTAATGGCGCACCAGGCGTGCGCCATTAGAATTTAATTCTAATGGCGTGATGCGAGTGGCGCACCAGTAATGCGCCATTAGAAGGCAAAACTGGTGCGCCACTAGCATGCCTTTTCCTAGTAGTGGCTATCTTATTGCAGTGGCCTATGACTAACAGTTACCCTTTGATAGAGAGAGAACCTCCCGCTCCGGCGACCAGGTAGCTAGGGTTCCGCCCATTCCCCTCATGCCGCCGCCGGCCTCGCGCCCCGCCTCTGTCCCCTTCCTCCCTCTCCCTTCCCCCGTCCAGATGCTCCTCGCGCCGCCTCCCCGGGGGGTGGCCGGGGCGGAGCTCGAGATCCTCTCTAGCGGGCCCCCTCCTCCCCCGTCTCCCCCACCGCCGCCGGCGCTGGCCCGGGTGGTACCAGCGGCGGCGGGCCTTCTCGTCCCCGCGCACGCGTGCTCCCTTCCCGGGGCAGGGAGGCGGCGGCGGTGCAGCCCGGCTTGGCTGCGGTCCGGCGGCCCGGCGGCGGCGGCCGTCGGCAGGCGTGGTGTCGGCGCCGCTCCTTGGCGGCGGGGCGATGTGGTGGTGCCGGGTGGCTGACGTCATGAACCTGACCCAGATCTGGGCCCGGCAGGCCCCATCTGGGTCCTAGCGGGCCGGCCCCCCAGCGTGGCCTCGTTGTCTGCGGCGCGGTGAGGAGGAGGAGCAGCTCGGATATGGGGCGTCGGCGTCGACGGCGTGCCGGCAGCCGCGCGAGGACGGGAGCTTTACGGGCCCATGAGGGCTCGGCCGGGCCTGTGGGCCCACGGGCCTGGTGTGCTCCTGCTATTGCGTTTGGACGGCTACCGTCGCGGACGGTGGAGGTGGGGTCCTCCCGCGTGCCGACGGTGCTGATGCCCTAGTCCCGGCTCTGATTCTTCGCCGCGCTGTCCTCACTTCACGGTGCCGTGGTGAGACGGCATGGGGGCCTCATGACCGCGGTTGCGCAGGGTGGTGGTTGGTTTGGTGGCTGGATCCGGAGTGCCCGAGGTGCGGGTTGGGATCGAGGGAAACCCCTGTCGGCGTGGCCGACACCGGCGGTGGCGCCTGTGGGTGCCACCTGACCTTCCGGGAGGGTGTCGGGGGCTACCCTTCCTTTCGCCTCGTCATGTACTGGGGAAAACCCTTGGCAGGAGCGTCGTCATCGTCGTGATCCTTCTTGGAGGTGTTGATAGGTGCTCGCGCTTCAGAGTCTTGGGGCCTAGTGGAAGATCCCGGTGGGCGCAGCAATCGCGAGGCTTCTTCGTTTTTGTTGATCCGCCATTGTCGGCATTTATTTCTTTTGCTCTTTCTCTGTCGTTTCTTTTGGGCGTGACTGTGATGCTTCCGCCCCAGCACCTAGGCCCAGTTCTTTTGCCAGAATATGGGGATTCTCCCAGAATCCGACTCCTATCCAGCTTCTTCCAGAATCTTTGGGCCTCATTTATTTTACAGTCCTATCTAGTTAGGATCTAATTAGCTAGGATTGTAAAACAAATGGGACTCAAAGAGTCTGGGAAAAGCTGGGTAGGAGTTGGATTCTGGGAGAATCCTGAGATTCTGGCAAAAGAACTGGGCCCTATTCCTGTATGGTTCGGTTGGTTGCTTTGTATACAAAGCAGGGGGGAACCCTTTTTCGGTAACAGCTATCTTATGGTCTCCAAATGCGCCTTCAAGTTCGCCTATTAGCTAGCTTGTGCCTAACGTCAATCTCAATGACCTGCGGTGCATGTGTTACATGGCTAGTACCTTCAAAATGGTGTGGCTTAACGTAGCTACAGTATAAACAACGAGTCCAAAATAAGGTAATGTTAAACAGTCATATAGTCCAGGACCTTCAACTTGATTCACTAAGATCGCTCAAAACTAAAGCAGTGAACCAAGAAAAGCAAATCTATCTTTTGTTTATGTTCTTTGCTCTGATTGCAAGGAACGTATCCTCCAGATTCAGTGCTTCTTTACTCTTCTGCTACTTTGGCATGGTACAAGAAAACAATAAAGAGGGACAGACCTTGATGCTCTAGCTATCTCTATATATCAGAACACAATTAAGTTTTGACAAGGTATGCCACTATAAGATAGAGAAATCTTGCAAAGTGTAGTTGTCTCAAAGCCCCCATCTTTTCTGAGGTATGCACACATTCCTTTGATTAGCTTATCTGTATTCCATGACTGTGTTCCTAGATGGACAACATATCTTGGATTCGCTGTTTCTAGATGTGCACTAGCACGAACTCTTTACATTCTTCTTCTCGCGGTGCTTCTAGTTATATAACTAGAGTATGAAAAGTAGTATGTACTAACTTCTGTGGAAGAATAAATTTCGATACTTCGCTGACACCCTTCTTATATGACCATAGATAAGATAATACAACAATATACTTTATCTCCTAGCGATTCCAATCAGCCTTTCATGCAGAATTTGGAAACGTAATTTAAGTGTTAGACCCATATGATGGCAGGTTTAATTGGGACCGACTCACCCTAATCTGTCCTCCCTTTTCCAGTTTTGACTTGAGTGGACCAGTTTGACCGATTAAGTAGGAAGTGATTGTAAGAGTAAGTGTTCACTTTAGGTTTGAGTTTCAAAGGTTTGCATATCGTGGCTTGACACGTGAGGTCACATCCACACGGCAGCGACCATGCATCCTGCTGTGTGTGCAACTGCAGAGGATCCCTTATACGGTTTACTACTGTGTGTTTGACTGAGGCCAAGTCTTGACGCACTCATGGACTCCGCTAAAATGTGGCATGTATTGCACATCTCACTTATATTGGCTGTTTCAGCCATCCGGCTCTCTCGCCAGCGTCATGGAGGCGAAATGCCACCATCGAAGAGTGGCTCAACGAGCTCTCCGCCGCCCCGGCCACGACAAAGAGGGTGCGCTCCTTGGTGTTGCTGATGCTCTGGGAGATTTGGCGAGTGCGAAATGATCGCATCTTCCGGAATGTTGAACTTTCACCTTCATCAATCCTCTTCCGGAGAGAGGACTGCCTGGGCGCTGGCAGGAGGTCGGCATTTGATGACGCGAGAGTAGTTGCTTTGTACCCTCTCGATTTTTTCTTTCTTCTCTTTTTGGGGTTTTCCCCTCCTGTTCTGTACAGTTGGCGTTTCTTTCGCCGTTCCTCTTAATGAAATGCGCAGCTCTCCTGCGTTCTTTCAAAAAAAAACGTATATGGGCTGTCAAGGAGATATGAACCTAGTTTTTTTTGCAAGTAAAATGAACCTAGTTCACAATTGGTAGTATTGTTTTACTTGTAAGCGAGAATGTTCATTGGAGGAGAGGTTTTTAATTAAAATTTTAGTTGATTTTGCATCTCATATTGAGAGTGCATGTACTTTGGCTATTGGGGTAGCCAAATTTGAAATCTCACTTGAATTTTAAGTTTGGATGGTCCTTAAATGCACTGAGTGGGTGTGAATTAAAAATTAAACTTCACTCCTCCCATGATGGTGATCACAGCAAAGTGCATAGGTCGTGTTGTGCACATTTTTAGAGAGCGGACTCTAAATTAATTCGCTTTGTCTCTCAAAAGAGGACATCCGCAAATCTTGGATGTAAATTTACTCTATTTTTCCCTTAAGGGTCATGTGTCTTCATCTGGCTAGGTGACATACTTTGAATCCCTTCCTCATTGGAAGGCATGCCTATGTCGTCTGGAAGCTGTTCTTTTCCAAATCCTTCCCTCAAGTTTAATCATGTTTTATTTTGAAATTTTTGCAGTGTTATATGATTTTTGTAGGATGGTTCAAGTGTCTTTCCCCTGTGGACTACCCGAACGATGCCCCGTGATTTTGCTTAGACATGCATGTGCAGCTTGTGCGCCATAGCCTTCAGGATGCGCACATGAGGTAACGTGTGCATGCATACAGCTTCAGTAAATAGTTTCTTCGATTGTCTTTATATTGTCTCACTAAAATCAATTTGTAAGGCTACACTAAGCATGTCCTTACCCAGGACTTGTAGCCGATCGACAGCTATCTTATGGTCTCCAAATGCTCGTTCAACGTCGCCAATTAGCTAGCTTGTGCCTATCGACATCAGCCTTGTCGATGATCTATGGTGCACGGGTTACCTGGCTATTATCTTTAAAATGATGCAGCTTAATGTAGCTACAGGGTAAAACAAACGAGACAAAAATAGGGTAATGATGAAAAGTCTGATAGTCCAGGACCTTCAACTTTTTCCAACTAAGATCCCTCAAAACTGAAGAAATGAACCAAGAACAGCATATATATCTTTAGTTTATACCCTTTGCTCTGATTGCAAGAAACGTATCCCCCAAATCCAATGCTTCTGTATTCTTTTGCTACTTTGGCATTGTACAAGCAAGGAATAAAGAGAAAGAGAGACCTGGATGGTCTTGCGCTAGCTCTATATATCAGAGCTCAATCAAGTTTTCACAAGGTATGCCACAAGAAGATAGAGAAATCTTGCAACGTATAGTTGTCTCAAAGCGTCCGTACGTCTATTCTAAGGTATGCACAAATTCTTTTTGATTAGTTCACCCAAATTCAATGACTGTTCCTAGTTCTGGACAACATGTCTTGAATTAGTTGTTTATATATGTGCATTAGCATGGCCTCGTACATTATTTTTCTGATGGTGCTTCTAGTTATAGGATTAGAGTGTGTGTACTAACTTCGTATATGAATAATTTTGAAGACTTCTCTTACAGCACGCTTATATGATCATAGATAAGATAATACAACAGTATATTTTATCTCCTAGGGATCCCAATGAACCTTTCATGCAGAATTTTAGTTAAATAAGTACTCCCTCTGTAAAGAAATATGAGAGCGTTTAGATCAGTAAAATAGTGATCTAAACGCTCTTATATTTGTTTACAGAGGAAGTATAATTTAAGTACTACGCCCATATGTATTGATATACCTCTATGTTATTATCATTACTCCCTCTAATCCATATTACTTGTCGCTCAAACAGATGTATCTAGCACTGGAATACGTCTAGATACATCCGTTTGATCGACAAGTAATATGGATCGAAGGGAGTAGTATTTTTGACCCGACTCTGTATTGTTGATTTCGTGTGGGTTTTGTTTGCACTCTTAAGGTTTAATTGCTGTGTTATTTGCAAGTTGAAAATTTGTTATTATTATTAATCCACACTGATATATGTATTATATTACAACAATATTAGGCAAGGGCATCAATGAGAGGGGGAAACCACTTAGCAATGAAAAGCTTGGTGCAGCTGTTCAATGAGTGGGAGATCCAACTACTAGTGCTTTTTAGCTTCACACTACAGTTCTTTCTCTTCTTTGCCGGCGGCCTCCGGCGGCGTATCAGAAACTGTGTACTGAGGTCATCAATCTGGCTAGCTTATTTGGGAGCAGACTTGGTAGCCGCTTATGTCCTAGGCCTCATCACACGACAAGAGGTTTCCACTCATCACCTGTTTTTTCTCTGGGCGCCCTTTCTCCTCATACATCTTGGTGGACAAGACACCATCACTGCTTTTGCCATCGAGGACAACAGTCTCTGGCGGAGGCATTTGTTGAACCTTGTTGTCCAAGTGTCCCTTACCCTGTATATCTTTTGGAAGTCATTCGACGGCGGTCCTAACATGCAACTTCTTGCTCCTAGCATCCTTTTGTTTGTCACTGGCACTATCAAGTATGGGGAGAGAACATGGGCTTTGTGGTGTGGCAGCCTGACAAACATCAGGGACTCGGATGGTCATGCTTCTGTTTCGGAATTGCGCTTTGCTACCTCTTCTGACCCTGTTATGTTTGCCTTGGTTTCAACAAATGCTATGCGTTGTTTTTTTACTGGCCTTAGGTTGCCCACTGACTTTTGGCATATAGGTAATTTACGCCCAGACTTTTCAACCAAGTTATTCTGGATCATGGAGATTGAACTCAGCGTAATGTTTGATGATATCTATACTAAGGCCCTGGTGCTTCGGACGTGGGGTTGCACCATCCTTCGGTGCATCTCGCATCTTTCCTTCCTGGCTGCTTTTGTGCTATTCTTTTATGTAGTAAGAAACAAAGAGAGGCGGCAGTACAATTTTGTTGACACTGCAATTACCTATGGTCTGTTTTTCGGTGGTTTCTCTCTTGAAGTTTCCTCAGTATGTATCATCATGAGGTCACCTGGGACTTGGGCATGGCTATGGAAAAAGACTCGGAATTGTAGCTTCCTTGGCTCCGTTGTTAAATGGTGTATACGTACTAGGTGTCCAAGGAAAAGGTGGTCAAACTCCATGGGTCAGTACAACATCCTAGACTATTTGGGGCAGTCAAGGAAACTGGTGAATATGTTTTTCAGGACGGGAGAGCAAAAGTTGTGGATCAGTAAACTGCTGGACACCAAGTTTGTGCAGGTGGATGAGCAGATCATGAGATGCGTCGTCCGAAGGATTGCTCAGTATCGCCATCGCCAAGAAGGTAGCCCCCAGGCCGGGCAATTGGAAAATCTTGGTCCGTTCCTACAGAAGATTGTGAAGCGGCATCATTCCGGTTTTGATTGTCCCTCCATTATCGGGCTCCATTTATTCACAGAGATACTGTTGAGTAGGTATGTACGCACTGGCACTGCTATGGACAGTGAGTCTAGCGATGCTTCGGTCCGTGTATGCCGGATGATATCCCAGTATATGCTTTATCTTTTGCTCACGCACCCTAAAATGCTGCCGACCATCAGCAGCGATAGCGGAGTAGACCAGTTAGTAGCATCCCTCTATGTAATCTTCGGTGCGGATAATGACATGATGGTTCAGGCAGTTTCAGCATTGGCTTTTATCGATATGCCGGAGCCACCGGGGGAGTGCGCAGAGGCGCATCTGTTGGAGCTCCAAGAGGCATGGGTAGGTGTGCTCCTCCATGCGGCCAGCAAGTCGCGGCCGGAGATGCATGCCACGCTGCTAGCCAAAGGAGGGGAGCTCCTCACCTTCATCTGGCTGCTCATGGCCCACTACGAGCTTGGGGATGTGCAGGGCCGCCCCATCGAGATGACCGCTGATGCACCTACTGTTCGGCGCCACTACGCCTTCTGTTTTCCACCTCAACCTCAAGCCTCTAGCTAGGTACATATATATTCTCCCACTTACATCTATCTATGAATTTGTTGGTAATTGTTTACTCACTTGATGCAAGCGAAGCGACGCTTGATCGATATCAATCCATGCCCGTTAATTCTAGCTAATTGCAAATTTAAGTTGCTTGTTCTTACCGAAAATAAAATGTAGAGTTTACTGTCTAATGTGAATTCTTTTGTTTCTTTATTAATTGTCAGATTCTGCTGAAGCACTCATACATTTTCGAGGATCGATTGTGCCTGCTTGGTCAAATAACTGTGCTCCAATCTGGTTTTATTATGCTCTTTACTTTTTTTCCCCTTCTTTTGCCGGCCAATGGGATTCAGAGTATTGTTGTTCATTCTGTCTGTTGTTACATATACAAACAACTACATTATCTTCACTGATTGTCAGCCTGTGCTAGTTATTTGCACTTTCCTACAAGAAACCACTCGGTGATTTGTTTCTATTTTCTGCAGATGTTGTGTTGCACCATTCCTGTTATCCAAATTTGCAATCTCAGCGTTGAATAAATAAAACCAATTAAAGAAAAGCAATTCTTGTGATAGGCAAGCATGAATATTGGTTCATTTCCAGTGAAGCATATACACAGAAGTTCCATATATATTGTGAGATGAATATTTATTTACGTGTACATCATCATCGTCGTCGTCGTCGAAAATTGTACAACGGAGCAGGACCAAGGCCGCAAAATCGGACGCCATATGCCAAACTCAACACGTATATGCGTCGTCCTGAAATATGTTATCCCACCACTTCACCTCAGGACTGTTCAAGGGCAATGGTTGCAGTTCGTGGATGGGCGAGATCACGTCATACAAAAATCGTACGCACAGCAATTTCGTAGATACCCTGGTAAGAAAAAATGTGCAGAAGCACCCTCGTAGGGTAGAAGAAGAGAACTGAGCCGGCCATTAAGCACCGCGTCGCTCCCCGCGTCGCTCCCCAGCAATTGGCCAGCGCACCGGTCGCTCCACCTGCGCCGCCCCATGCACCACCACATCTGCGCCGCCACCTCCACCACATACGCGCCGCCGCGCCCTGGCCAGAGCCGGCCAGCACCCCGCCCCCCACACGGAGCAGCCGAGCTGCCAGCCGCCACGCCACCACCTGAGCCCGGCCGTCGGACACCCCCAAGGGCATCCGCCGCCGCCACCTCCCGGATCTGGGCAGAGGCACCCAGATCCGACGCCAGCAATGTTGATGATCATTTCCACGAAGTTTCAGATTTTTTCTAAATGTTTTGATATGTTTTATTGCGTAGGTGCACCGTGGGTGCACCGAAAGTGGGTGCAGCCACTACTTTCCCATATAGAAATCGCATATGACACTTTAAGGTTCAATTTTAGTGCACCTTTAGATTTATGACTATTTTCATATCGGTTCTAGCATTTGTCATTGCTTCTACGAACTATTTAGGCAATAGTACATTATTGATAGTGTGTAAATTCTGACCAGTACTGTACCGTTGTTTTCCTCGAAGTGACTGTAGACTCAGCATGCACCTTAAAATGCGAGTCTATAGTCTATACTGCAGGTCATGTTATAGGCACTCTGTTGCCATATTGGTTGTGTATCTCCCTGGCATGAATAGAGTCATTTTTCATCAAGATTCATTTACAGGACACAGTTGAGGCTATCAGATGTTGGCTTATGGATCGTATCGAGAGGTTGTAGGCACGAGATCAAACAACAAGAACAAACACAAATGAGTTTTGGGCTGCTCCAACGCACAACTTTTCTGAGTTTTATTCGGATCATATAGGGCTCAAAGAGCCGACGCCGCGTTCAACACGGCCTACTAAACTTTCCCAACACGTCGCGACCCTGACCAGATGTTGGTCAACATCAATACCCGACTTATCTTGAAGAGATTGATGCTAAAACGTCTCCTAACAAGTTTCAAACTTGCCCTATGTGATACAGACTTGCGACATAAATTTATGTTCTTATACATGGAACATAGAGTTACGTTCTCTTTACAGACTCGGGCATACAATGTAAACGAACGTTCTCCTTTTAGACTTTATGTTCTGCTATTCG